CCCTCTGTGCTCTCCCCCCACCCCCCCTAGGAGGCGGGCCTGCTGCCAGCCAGCTCTGGGGCTCACTGCAGTCTGGGGTGCCAGGACAGGCAGGTAACCTGCCCTAGCACTTGCACTGGTCACCTGATCCCCGCAGCAATGAGACCCACTGCCTGACATTGCCCGACCTGGGATCGAGTCATGACCCAGAGTTAGAAAACCTCTGGTCTAGTGGATTGGGGGAGGCCTCTGCTAATGAGCAGGGTCTGTTCTGCTCTGGGGCTCACTGCAGTCTGGGGTGCCAGGACAGGCAGGTAACCTGCCCTAGCACTTGCACTGGTCACCTGATCCCCGCAGCAATGAGACCCACTGCCTGACATTGCCCGACCTGGGATCGAGTCATGACCCAGAGTTAGAAAACCTCTGGTCTAGTGGATTGGGGGAGGCCTCTGCTAATGAGCAGGGTCTGTTCTAGTCCCTAATCACCACCTGCCATAGGTATGCTCCTTCAGTGTCTTTGATGATTAAAGCTACAAAATATGTAGATGGTATCATGAGTTGTGGTGGGCACAGCTCACTTCTTCAGATGTACAGACTACCGCCTGAAGCTTCATGATTAAACAGATCAAGTGCACACACTTGTTTTGGTGTGTTTATCACCACTGCAGGCACTTCTTTCCAGAAAAGATATGCAGGCTTCTGAGACTGGGTTACTGGCCACCACAATTTATGGAAAGGCTCTGCGCTGTGTGCAGGCTGAGCTTGTGAAGAGAACTGGAGGCAATCTCATGCCAGTGCACCTCCTCAGGGCTCAGCATGTTCAGAGATAAGATGACGAGATGTCCTGCCATTACTGAGACCATCCAGATACTAAGTGCTTTCATTTATATAGACAACTAAACACCCCCTAATTTCCCTGAAAAGAAGTGTCCTTATTTTTCACACTTGCTGTCTAGTTACTCTAGTTTTGAGTTGCTGTGGAATTTGCTATCTCTGATGCAAAACTGTACTACAGATTCTGGGCATTCATTTAAAAAAAGGGGGGGGGGAGGAGACAGTTCTCCAACAAACTATGTGTCTTCTTTATGTCACTCTGGCAGTATTTAAAGGATTTAAGAATACACCATGCATAAGTGGCTCCTGCATAGACTGTCCCCCTTTTTTGCTAGTGGCTCAGGGATGTTGTGGTGTATGTCTACACTAGGGCTGTAAACTTTCATTTAACAGTTAACCAGTTGAGCACTATGTTTAACTGGTTAGTTGTTGAGCAGATGCCCACCCATTGTGCAGCAGGCCTGGCCAGGCTGAGGGCTGGGTCCACCATGCTGCAGTCAGGGGTCTGCCCCGGTTACCTCTTTAAATTCCTAGTCTACACAGTTTCTGGGAGCATCCTTCCCAGAGCAACTATATAGACCCATGCTAACTCCACCAAAACATGTATGCTAAAAATACCAGCACGGTCGTGGTGATACGGAGGGCATCTTGGGCTAGTCACCCAAGTATATTGTTACACAGTGGCCTGACTATGTATTTGAATGAAGAGGAATGCAATCTTTTCAGACTTGGTCTACATTATCAGCTTGTGATTGTATAATAACTTCATTGCTGAGCAAACCAATTATGTCAGCCTAGCTTCTAGTGTATAATGTTGAATGGATGACTACTCCACTTCTCGGGGAGGTGTGTAAGAGAGAAAGGGAGCTGATTGGTTCCTTGTTTCCCCCTTTCAGAATTTTAAACTTAACTCGGGCCACATGGAGCCTTTTTGCTCAGCAGTTCCACACTGTTATTTCTAAGAATATTTTCACAGCTATGTCTTGCGAACGTTGCAGGTCTGACCGGTTGCTTGCAAGAAGAGGTTTTTTTCTTCCATTGGGGCCAAATTGGTTCCCCCCCCCCTTCCTCTCAGCATCCTGGAGGTGTAGTTAGGTTAAATAGGGCTAGGATTGAAGCTAGGTCTACACTAAAATGTTAGGTCAACCCAGCTGTGTTGCTGAGGGCTGTAAAAAAGCCAACCTAAGCTCCAGTGTAGTCAGTGCTATGTTAATAGAAGGAATCTTCCATCAAACTAGCACTGCCTTTCAGGGAGGTGGATTAACCTCACTGTAGTGAGTGTTTATGCTGAAGTGCTGCAGCAGTTTACTTGTAGACATAGCCCTGGAAGTTAATAGGGATGTTAGTTGGTTACACCTTGCAGCCTCTTTCCAATGCATTTAAAGGCTAAAATGAACATTTTCCAAAAGTAGAAGACCTGGGCTTTGTGCTGGTGGGATGTGGTAGACCCTGTGGCATTTTGTAATCTTTGTCCCCCTTATGGATGTTAGGATTACTGATGGGATTCAGAAGAGTGATTTGAATCCTAAGGGTAAACCAAAAGTGTCTGCTCTAAGTTAGTAGTCTACATGGTAGGAACCTTCTAACTCCTGCATTGAAAGTAGGGATGTAAAATCCTGTTTAATCACTGCAACCGGTAAGCACCACCAGTAAGGCAGGGGTGGGAAACCTCAGGCCCAGCCCCTGGCTTGCCTGGATCTGGCCCCTGATGCTCAGGGTTCCCCTTAGCATTGGGGAGCCTGTGCTGGTGCTCCAGCCCCTTGGTGTCCCACCATGAGCCGAGGGCATACAAAATCTACTAGGCTGGACCCCCCTCTAGGCTCTAATGTTCAACGGAAATGTGGGGAATGTCTTTCTCCTTCTTATTTGGGGGCCACATCAGTGAGGTGGGCTTTTGTTTGTTTTTATTTTTTGCTTTTCACTTGTGTGTAGCCCCTGGCTGATTTTTCTGTGGGTCAGTGGTCCCTGAAAGGTTCCCCACCCCTGCAGTAAGGTAAGGGTGATGATGACCGTTCACAACTCTAATTAAAAACACTTAACATGTCTGGTGTATGAAAGTATAGGTGACAAGACAGCTAGTAGATTAATGTAGTTGCAGCATGCTACTTAAAATCCATCTTTGTGTTTTATTCCATTCACCACTGTGTCTGGATTGAGAGTCTGGCCTACTGTAAAATCAAAACCACTTCCCACAGCAGCCAGGCATTCCTTCGATATCTTCCATCCTTGTATTGATTTGGTCTTTTGCTCACAGTTGTCTGATAAGAGTCTGGCCAACATAGGTTGCAGGGCCAGACTCTTATTTTGTTTGTCACAATTTATTTACCACTTTTCTAAAATACACAAAATTAGCCATCTTCTTTTTATGGTGCCTGGGTAATGCTGTAAACTTGAATTTTAATCTGGGTGAGAAAGAGACATAGGCAATAGCTGTAACCGAAAGCTGTGATGGAGACTTGGGAACAGTAATATCTGTTCAGTTTCAAAAGTTAAAATGAGTTGCTTATTTAAAATCCCACTTTAAAAATAATCAGAATTATAGATGTGTGGAATAAAATTTATTCTCCGAGTCAGTGATCCTCCTGAAACTGATTTAAGTTTTACAAAGTAAATTAAAAGAAATTTCTCTCTTCAGTTCAAACTTAAGTGATTCCTGTAAACCCTAGTTCAGAGGGATGATACTTGTGGCTGGTTGTTGTAGCCTGCAAAGACATTGCATTAAATAAACATATAAGTGAACCTGTAAAAATATTTGTGTTACTAATCAGCCTCATTAATGGAATAGAAAGGTGATGAGGATGAATAGTTGGTAAAGACAAAATTATGTGAGGACTAGAAGCTTGACCTTGACTGTATAATACAGGAGGGGAATTCACTGGAGGAATTCAAAGACAACATGACACAGTCCGAACAGCAAACACAGCAGTAGATAAAATACATGCAGTATAAAACTTCTTCACCCAATCTATAGTCAGTTAATTTTTATTAAATATATACTTTGTAGTGGTCATTTTTTTGTGAAGTAAAAATAGAAGCAATAAACTTATATTTTGTTTACAGATATTGATTGGAGATCATGGCTTTCAGAAATGTGAACAGAAGACGTCACATTGGACTTCAACAGCTTTCATCTTTAGCATCAATAGGAAGAACACTTTTAGGACCAGTAAAATCATATAAATTTATTGTAGATGTAAGCACTAGTGAGAGTGCTTTGACTTGCTCTGCAGTTAGACTTCTTGAAAGTTTGGATTTAACTAGTGCAGTGGGACAGCTTCTTAATGAAACAATTCAGGCACAGAACAAAGAATATAAAACTGGGATGACTACCCTCTTATTTCTTGTTGGTGCATGGAGCAATGCTGTACTTGAATGCCTTCAGCAAAATGTTCCTCTATCACTAGTAGTATCTGTGATGTCTGAAGGATTGAACTCTTGCAGTGAAAAAGTCAAGTGTCTTCAGCTATCAGTACATGATTTATATAAAGGGCCCAAATCTGTTCCCATTCACTTCAGTTCTAGGAGTCTGGGGTCCCAAATTACTGAAAATAAAGTTCCTAATACTGGCTCTAACAGTTTTTTAAATCCTCTTGGGAATATTATTAAAGATATTCCTGTATCTAAAGAAGAATGTTTTCCAGAAAGTCTTCATTCTCATCAAGCAAGCCCTTGTGATCCTCATGACAGATGTTTGAATTCACATCTATGCATTTCAGACAATATTACACCCTCATTGGTTGAACCAGTGGGCAATAAAACTATGCCTGCAGTTCTTGGAAGCAGTTTGATTGCATCCAACTTTAACAAAAGAACAAAATTAACTCATAGTAGATATTTTAACACTCCAGAAAAAAGCCATTGTCCACTCCAAACAGACAATTTTGGAAGTGCTCCCATTAGGCCTGGAGCATGTCCTTATGAATTTAATGATTTTGGACAATTGGCTATGGCTCTTAGCCATGGGAATCAGTCTAGTATGAAATTGGTACAGGATATTTTCAGATGCCAGCAACAAATAGCTGAACGCAAAGGTTCTTCTCAATTTAATATTGCAGAAGTTGTGACATGCTGTTTACCAGGACTGTCTGAAAATTATTCTTGTGTGTGCCCAGGTTATATCACTTTAGTATCACCAGAAAAAGCCACTGTTACCAAGCAACTTCGGGATAGACCTCTTCAGATTCTTCTCATAGATGGTGATCTAAGGGAAAAATATCGTCACTTGGGATTTAATAGGCCATCAAATGTCAGCACAATATCAGAAAGTGTAGCTTTACAAGAAAGTAGCTCAGAAAGTATATGGATAAATTGTGCATTAGATATTTTAATACAATCAAAAGTAAATTTAATTTTAGTAAAAGGAAATGTGTGTGAAAATTTAATGGAAAGATGCATCTTGAATAATATATTGATAATCAATCCAGTAACTGACACTGTGCTTCATGCTTTTGAGAAGGGCATAGGAGTGCAGTTGGTGACATACCTATCCCAAGTAAATAGTCATTATGTGGGAAGTGGTGTGTGGGTGGACTTCTGGAAAACATTGGAATTAGATAACAAAGTGCCAGTCAGTATAAAAGCTGAAGGAATACATCTGGTAACAGCTGTGCTTTGTAGCACAGTAACTTCAAAGATGCAAGTTACTGAAGATCAGTTCTGGACTTGTGCTTATCGCCTCTACCATGCTCTCACTGATCAGAAAGTTTTTCCTGGAGGTGGTGCTGTTGAACTGTTGTGCCTCAGTCATCTTCAGAAGCTTGAAGAACAATCTTTAAAGCAAGCCGATAAATACCCTTCTGGAGAATTACACATGTCATCTTGCTGGTTGACAAAATCTTTGACACAGTATAAATCAGTTGTGCTTAAAGCTCTGGCAAGTGGTTGGCATCAGTATCTTTCAAGAGTCATGTATAACACTGCTAGTTATGAATCAGAGTTTGAAGCAAGCACTTTCATAGACCATCATCTCAAAAAAGCTACAGACTGTAGTTCTCCTTCATCATATATTCTGAAAGAGTTTAATAAAGGAATTAAGGTCATGGATGATGTTGATCTTTCAATTAAACAGGAGGAGGCTCTAAAGATATATGACAATGTTACATCCAAGGTGGAGGCATGGCGCAGAGCTCTCGACTTGGTGCTATTAGTGCTTCAAACAGATGCTGAAATTATTACAGGTCCCAAGAGAAATCAGTTATTAAATTCACATACATCCAGTGAGTTCACATTTGTATAGGACTTGATAGGCTTTATTTGCGACTCTACCTCAGTGGGTGGAAAACATGCAGGTACACTGGAATGTTTGTTGCAGCTATAAAGCAAACTTCAGGGGCTTTGGCAATGATATTTACAAATAAAATTCAACATATGGCTGTAGAAACACTGAGGCAGTCCTAGCTTTTAATTTCTTAGAAATGGAGTTTGCATCTGGTTATCCACCCTATCTTTTCTCTGACAAGATCAAACTGATGCATGAGGGAAGTATGAAGCTGCTAGGTGGAGTGGGTTACTAATGGAAATGAGCTCACTGTCTCACTATAACAATGCTGCCTGTTTATTCCCATGCGTTCTCCATTAACCCCCTCTCTCCCTATTTCTTAACCTGTGTTGCACAGGGTGCTGAACCCTCCCTCCTGTTGCAGGGAGGCAAAGCCTGCAAGCGGCAGAACCAGAGAGGGAGGGAGAGGCAGGCAGCTGTTTCAAGAAGTTCTAATCAATTACACTGCCCTGGCAACAGGCTCGCAATCTACCTTTCCTCTCTACTGCGGGGACGGGTAGATCCGCAGGTGACAGGCTGCTGAAACTCACAAGAGATCATCTCCCCTCCCTTGTGAGTTTCAGCAGCAGCCTGTCACCTATGGATCTACCCGTTCCCACCGCCCACTCCCCCGGGTTGCAGTTGGTGCCGGACCATCAGATGTACCGGACCACTGAATGCCGGACCATCGGAGTTTTACTGTATTTAGAAAGTGTGCTCAGAGGTCCTCCTAGAAGCAATAGCAGTCAGGGAGGTATCTGTAGACAGAGTAGATATGTTAAAAGTGGAATCACAAGTGTTACTAGTTAAGATTGAGGTGCACTGGAAAAAGTTTACTGAGAAAGCTTGAACTGTGCCTTGCTCAAGCCATTGCCATTACCTTCCTTTTTCTATTTGTTAAAATTAACTTAATTTGTAGGAAAAGGAAGACAAATTGTGTCTCTTGTGAGAAGGGAGAGTAGTTTTCATATGATAAAATTACCTCTCCAAAAGTTTGTATTTCCAACCTTTATTAAACACAAACCTGCTGAAGGCCTATATTGCAGTCTTGGGCATGACAATTTATATCTGGGAGACTCTGTCCAAATCTTAAAAGGTAGTATTAGACCTTTATAAAGTGCTTAGCGATCTATGGATGAAATATGCTATTGAAGAGGTAGGTAGGTATTTTAGAATTACATTGAATATGATATGGCAAAAGATAAATGTGTACTTAGATTTACACAACCTTTATACCTCCTTTTCATTTTTGTACCAATTATTTTGTGAAAAGTACATTACCAATAATTCATAATCAGTGTAATATAACTTTAAAATATCTATATTGTGAACATGTACTAACAGTGTAATGTGTATTGGCAAACTGCATAAAGCTGTGTTTTTTATGGGGCGGGGGTTATGCTAAAAGAAGACAGGAATGTAGGAATCATTCATCCATTTAAAATTTATATAAAATGGGAATGTAGATATGCCTTTCACTATAAAGTCAATTTGTATTACATACCACAGATACAAGTGTAGTACTACTCATGGGTATCATCTACTGCAGGCTAGAGTACTAGATTTGGTACCGTTTCCAGGAAGAGACCATAATCTTGTTTATAAATAGGGCATATGTTTCTTATTGTAAAAAATATATATACTACACAGGCTGTCAAATCTTGGGAAAAAAAAGTACTTGATATACCTGTTTGGACAATAGTTCCCCCTGTAAATAAAATATAATTAAAATCTTTCTGTTTTCCTTGTGGCTTTTCTGGTTATTCCTTTTCAACAAAAACAAAGGATGGAGCTTTACAGCCAGTATTTTATAGTGCTTCATTGTGGCAAAAGACCAAATCCTCATTATCAAGACTCAGGCAAGAGTCATTTTATCATTTAGTTGCATTTAAATTGTAAGCAAAGGCAAGATGGAATTGGTATTAATTGTAACAGGAAAACATATAACAATGGAGATGAGTTTCTCCAACTAATACTTTGAGTAAATCTCAGGTGAATCTCACTTGGGGTGAAAACACAATAGAAAAAAGAATGTAAATGGTGGAACTAAAATTAATTTCTACTCATGAGCATTTTTCTATCATAAGTGTAATGGCTGACACCATTTGGATTAAATATTATTAGGTTTACACATCACTGCTGCTGCTGTTTGTAATCTTATTCTGTGTACTTCTTTTGGAATGGGAGATGCATGTGACCTTGTAGGCCAAGAATTTTCTAGGAAAAAAAGCTTTTTTATTGAAGTCCTAGCTAACTAAAAAGGCAGTCAGAAAACAGGAGCAGTTACTTTAAAAAATACTGTAAATGTGATCCTCTGTTACTTCATGGCTACGTCTAGACTAGCCCCTATTACGGAATAGGGATGCAGAGCAGGCAAGTCAGAATAGGGAAATCCGCGGGGGATTTAAATATCCCCTGCGGGATTTAAATAAACATGGCCGCCGCTTTTTTTCTGGCTTGGGGAAAAGCCGGAAAAGAGCATCTAGACTGGCGTGATCCTCCGGAATAAAGCCCTTTTCCGGAGGATCTCTTATTCCTACTTCAAAGTTCGCGCCAGTCTAGACGCTCTTTTCCGGCTTTTCCCCAAGCGGCGGCCATGTTTATTTAAATCCCGCGGGGGATATTTAAATCCCCCGCGGATTTCCCTATTCTGACTTGCCTGCTTTGCATCCCTATTCCGTAATAGGGGCCAGTCTAGACGTAGCCCATATGTATTGTTCTGATGAGCTGTCTCCCTTTTCCTGTAGGTTGTGTCTGTCTAACTCTAGAGACAAGAGCATGGCACAGAAGGATGAGCTGGCACAAGCACATATGCCTGACTACAGCCTTCCCATTTATTCTGATGGCTTTTTGACCCCTTTATTCACTCTCCAGTATATCTGCTTCCTGTCATAGGCTGTACTTCAGCACCTTGCAGCCTGCTAAGGCTCCTGAGGGGGCTCATCCCCTCAGGCACTGCTATTAGTTTTGTCAGCTTCTGATGACTATAAATAACTAAAGCTTTGGAAAGAAGGGGGTGGGTTTGGAAGACGTCTCCATATGTGGGCTCCAACTGTATGGCACCAGCCCTAAACAAAACCTTGGGCCTATCATACTCTTAATTCCCAGGCTTTCCTCATCCTTTCCCATATATGTATTTTCCAAAACCCTTTCCCCACCCATAACACTTCTTTGCCCTGCTAAAAATACCCCACTTCCTTTCCCCCCTGAAACAGTTGCTGGCTCCCACAAATTACCCTCCATTCTTCAGTAACTTTCACAACACACACAGGCCCATACACAGGAATTTCTGTGGTGATGTGCTTGTTGTGCAAACGTGGACCACAAGGGTGTCAAAGCACCCCTGTGGTGCCCTAGGTAAGTGAGGAAATCAACCTGAGCCTTCCCCCGGCTGGCCAGAGGATGGGGGAGAGAGGTTTGGGCAGCACACTGCTCCTGCCTTCCCCTGGCCAGCTGGGGCATGCTTACTTTTGGGGGACCACAACAGGGGCTCTCGCACCCTTCGCACCTTTTCTGTGTACGGGCCTGACATCTGCTGTTCTTGTGTCCCCACAATATGAATGCCTTGAGGTCTCCCACAGTAAGCCACATAGCCAATGCAGGTCCTAAATAAGCCTTAGGCATGAGGTAAAGAAGAGAGTCCCTGAGGTGTTTCTAATGGTCTTCAGCTACCCAGGAATCCATTGTCACTACGCACATGACATGGACCCACCAAATGCCTTTTAGGTCCTCTACATAATGTGGATGAAACAGTTAATCTAAATTTGTACAGCTCCACGGACTTTATTTGAGCTATAATGCTTTACAGTAGTTGAATATCTGGCCCAATGAGAAGTATGCAGAGAAGAATTATAAAACTAATAACATTTTCATAGGTGATATATGTATGGGAAAAGCTCACAACTACATTGTTAAAGTCATATTGAGAGACCATAAAGCCATGAAAAATAATCTAGGATTTGACACATATTCACTTATATATAATTTATAGATGTCACTATTATCAACATTTTTGTGGCTAATGGAAATTTTTTGTTGTTGATTTTTTTCAGAGTTATTAGCTAAAAACTTTTGAAGTGGAAGTCCTAAATGTAAGTCTACTTTGAAAAGTTAAACCCGCCACATTAATTTGACTTTCTCTAAAATAAAATTGTCTATACACTTCAGAATTTAGCAAAAGGTGCATTTTGGAACACTATCATGCCTTGTTAGCTTTTTAGAATTTTAGCTTTGAAACAAATTACTAACAATCTTCAGACCCGATCCTCTCAGTTGCTTAATGAGTAAATTTTTAGTCATCCAGGGATTCATTTTTACTTGACTATGCAAATGAGTATATATCAGGTTATTAACTATAATGCAGAAGTGTGAGGAGTTGAAAGGAAAGAGCTGAGTGATTCAAATGGTACAAAGGGAACTGTGAATAGTGGAAGCACAGCACATAAATGTAAACAAAAACTCCCACTACTCCAAAAGTGTTTGTAATTGTATAATTTGAGTTTGGCATTATTTTTTTTCTTTACTTTTTGTTTCTGGTGTTGCGTAGCCCCTGATCCTCAGATAACGTATAAAATAATTTTGCTCAAAGTGCCCAAATGTCTATTTACATAGCTTTTAGACCCTGAGGAGAAAAAACCTACTAACCACTAAAAAGCCAAAATTATGTAAAATTTCCAATAGGGCTTTTTCATGCATTTAAATGGTGTAATGTGGCTCTCTTCTGAAAAGGTTTCTGATCGTTGATAATTAGACATATGCTTTTTCATAGGTTAGGCACATACAGATACAGTACTCTGTAGTAGCAGTCGATAGTGTACAGGCAGTCCCCGGGTTACATGGATCCGACTTACATCGGATCCCTACTTACAAACGGGGTGAGGCAACCCCGCACTAGCTGCTTTCCCCCAGCAGACCAGGGAGATGCGAAGCTAGCGCCTCCCCCAGCAGACCAGGGAAACGCAGAGCGGCTTTTCTAAGCAGACACCTCAGCTTGAGAATAAAGGACTGAGGGAAGTGAGGTGTGGGAGAATAAAACTGAGCTCTGGAGAAATGTTTGGCTAGAGTTTCCCCTACAATATGTACCAGTTCCGACTTACATACAAATTCAACTTAAGAACAAACCTACAGTCCCTATCTTGTACATAACCCAGGGACTGCCTGTATCTTATATCCTAGACATGCTCTTGATGCTAGCTGCCCAATGATGCCCTCTTTGACCCTAGCCTATTGATCCATTGTACTTGTAATCACCAATACTGATTAATGTTGACATTAAAAAACAGAAATATTTGTGCACAAAACATTAACTTGCAATTGGGCTCAGATCATTTTCTATCAATCTGTTACTTGCAGGATGTCGGAATTAAGGTTATACATTTTAGGATGGAGGGTTTTAGGGACAGGAGGTTTTGAGGGAGGTTATTTGATGATGCAGAGAAAATTCATACCTTGGTGGGAAGATGGGCAGTGGCACTGATCACTGCCTCTCTGGCCTACTGTACTTATGCAATGAACCCTATAATACAGCCCAATTGCCTGGCTCCAATGGGCATCAAGTTTCATGATTTCCACAAAACACATTCTCCTAATCCTCGTTCTTATATTTTGTTTGTGATTCTCCTGAGCTGTATTAATTGTATGAATAAAAGTAAATGCTAATAAAACTAAATGTTAACTAACATCAGTGGGGAAAGAAGGAAGAGCTTCATTTTGGATTGAGGATTAGATGAGACAAAGGCACTGGGCTAGAGAACTGAGTTTTGCAGTGGGAGTGGTGACAGGTATACAGATGGATCCGTGAGTCACTCAAGAGCATCACAGAGCATCCCTGCTCCCTACATCCTCTGCCAACAGTTATGCCTCCCTGCCCATCTGTGGTTCTCTGTGATACATTAAGCATGGCAGTAAGCATCCCAATTCAATAGCCCTACTGATATCTGTCAGAGGATATGCTGTAATTTTAAGGACTACCCTAGGTAGTACATGCCTGCTCCAAGTTCTGGCCCTTTAAGCAGCAGTACTGTGGTGATTATAGTCTCCAGAAGATCACCTGGGTGTGAACTGCTGCAAGCCATGATGGGGGGGGGGAGGGGGATATCAGTGACTATAAGAAGCAGCTGGCAGTTAGTTGAAAACAGCTGTTGTTTCAATACAAAGGAAACATTTGATCTCAGATGGGCTGTGCTAAAGTAATTATGAAAGAGGAAGATAAAGTGTGTGGAAGAGAATGAAGTGAAATGAATGTGGTACTGAGATACAGGTATGAGTTTCAAATTGCCTGTTGGTGCTTGCCCTTGTTTAGGGGGCTTCCAGATAGGTTTAGGAAAATGCAGCCTTTTCTTTCTCCAAAGTATATTTTTTGGAAGAACACTACTGAATGAGCAAAGCTGAGACTATCTGTTTTTCCCAAGAAAAGAGGCTTTTGATTTGTCAGGAGAGCTAAATCCACCTGTCAGCTTTGGGGAAAGTATCTGTGAGGATCTTCAGTCTGAAGAGGTATGATATCTGTAGCAGTTCTCCAAGGAGCAAAACTGCCTACCATGGTGGATTTCCTAATGGTTGTTGTTCTTGTTATTGCTTTAAGTAAACTAAGTGCTGTATGGAGTTAATGGGACACCTGCACTTATATATCTAGATCAGTGGTCCCCAACGTGGTGCCTGTGAGTGCCGTGGCGCCCACTGGGCCATTTCTGTGTGCCCACCGAGTGATTGGGGCCGGCCCTGCCCCCAGGCGCGTGACGCATG